CGAGGAGACACCTGGGAAGAGGCAGAGATTAATCTATTAAAGTAAAGAAATAAAAAGAAAGAAATATCTTCCTAGCCCTATGTATCAGTCAATTTCCCATCACTGGGACAAAATACCCAACCTCCACAACTTAAAGGAGAGGTTCATTTTGGCTCCCAGGTTTAGTCCATACATGGTCAGCTGGCTCCAAAGCAGAAAGCTATTCAACCCATGGTGGCCAGGAAGTAGAGCACAAGAGAGAAGGATCCAGGACAAAAATATATCCTTCCAGCTCAGGCCTCCAGTATCTCGCCCCTTCCAACCAGGACCCACCACTTACCTGCACATTCACCTATGAGCTCGTGGATGAAGGAGTCCACTGATGAGCACAGCGCCCCGTGATCCAATCACCTTCCAGATACATGAGGTTTTGAGGGTGCATTTTAGAGCTCGCCCATAACATCATTCTGGTAAGGAAAGTATTTCAAGGTAACCATATAATCCTAAAGGATGTAGGAAAATTCTTCTAGTCAAATTCTAGTTAATAAATGTAAAAAGAATTAGAAAACTAAGCCATGCATGGTAATGCACCCCTGTAATTCCTGCACTCTGGGATGCTCAGGCAGGAGGATACCAAGTGCAAGCTCAGCCTGGGCAACTCAGTGACTTACGGAGACCCTGTCTAAAAATTTTAAAAGGAATGGGGATGGAGCTCAGTGTGAGAGCCCTGGTTCAATCCTGAGTAACACACATACACACACAGAGAGAGAGAGAGAGAGAGAGAGAGAGAGAGAGAGAGAGAGAGAGAGAGAGAGAGAGAAGAAAGAAAACTATCATGTTGCAATCCTAGGACACGGCCATCAATAAATGCTAAAAATCATTAATTAGATGAAACACTGATTAGAAATTTTACAATAATGGAATTAGGCGGTCATCTCCTGAAAAATTTAAGTATTACTAAAATGAGACAATCTGAAACTATATGGCTCTTGAAATGATGAAATAACATGGAGAACATTAACACTACTTATGGCATATTCTTGTCAAAACACTAAAATTAATCAGGTGTCTATCAATCTAACTTCTAGACTATGGGAATTACAGTAGACAACGGAGCAAATAAAATACCACAAGGAAGCAATCAAAACACTCTGTGGAACATTTTTGTTTGTGGGTTTTTGTAGTACTACTGTCTCGATTTCCTTAAAAGTAAATGGAAGTTGGCTGAGTGTTTAGCTCAGTAGCACTGTGCCTGCCTTGCAAGCCCAAGATCCTGAGTTTGATCCCTGGTACTAGAAAAAAAATAGTAAATGGAAGATGAGATCTTAATGAATGTTGGAATCACTCTCCACCACATTAGGACTTAGAGATGGGTAGCTATCTGCAAGCCAGGAAGAGAGCCTTGTCCAGCACTGACTATGCTGGCACTTGGATTTCTGCCTCCAGAATTTGAAGAAAATAAATTTCTGTCTAAGTAAAAAAACAAACAAAAATCAAATTCCATTTTTAAAAAAAAAAATTTTTGGTACTGGAGATCGAACTCCGGACCTTGTGCTTGAGAAGCAGGCAGCGACACCACTGAGCTAAATCCCTGGCCCTCAAATTCCATTTTTTTAGATAATTAGGGAGATCCGTTTGGCTTGTGGTGTTTTCCTCCACCTCTTCCTCTTCTGTTTCTCTCTCTACCCGCTCCTTCTCCCTCTCCTGTTCTTTTCCAGTGCTAGGGATGAACTCAAGATTTCACACACGCTAGGCAAGTGTGGCATGCATAGCACTTTTTTTCCATTTTGAGACAGAATCCCACTATATCACCCGGTCTGGCCTGGGACTTGCAATCCTTCTGCCTCAAACTCCCAAGTAGCTGGGATTACAAATGTGTGCCACCAGACCCAGCTTGTTTTTTGGTTTCTTTGGTTTTTTTTTTTTTTGTACTGGGGATGAAACTCAGGTCTTTGAGCTTGTGAGGCAGGCGGCAAAACCACTGAGCTTAATCCCCTGTATTATGTCTTAAGAATGTTTATTTCAGCGCTGGGGATGTAACTCCATGGTAGACCACTTGTCTAGCATGTGTGAGGCACTGGGTTCAATTTCCAGCATCACCACCAAAAAAAAAAAAAAAAAAAAAAATCACAGATTTAAAACAGGTCTTATAAATTCATAAATCTGAGTATAATCTCACTATAATGGTATGAAAATGACTCTGTGATTATACAAGAAAAACTTCTTCTAAAGCATAATTAAGTAGTTAAGAATAAAATGTCAAATATGTCACTTAAGATTTGGTTTTAAATTCTTCAGCAAAAAGTAAACAAATTAGAAAAAAATAAGGGATGACTGGTGGTGATTGCTGAAACAAGTATAGCAAAATATTGACAAATATTAAAGTAGGTGATGAGTACATGAGACTTTGGTGTACTCTTGTGTACATGTCAATGTTTCTTAATTTCTTTCCTTATTTAAAAAATTTTTAAATTTGTATTGGTACACATTTGTGGTATATAATGGTTATATTCAGCATAATGGTTATATTCATAATGGGAGTGGGTACATGTACATAACACATCATAATCCTTTCTACTTCCCCTTCCTCTTCCTTTCCCCCCCTTTCCCTCACACCATCATTCTGTTTGTCTGTCTTTTTGTTTGAGACAAGGTCTCACTATGTAGTCCAGGCTGGCCTTGAACTCACTGTGTGGTCTCAAACTTTAAGTGATCCTCCTGCCTGCACCTCCTGAGTGCTGGGATGACAGGCATGCAGCACCACACCCAGCACAAACCCAAAATTGATTCCTTTTAATCATTTACCATTTATCAAATACATAAACACTATTAAAGAAAAACACATATAACACATTAAGTACAAATAATATATTTTATTTCATCCCTGAAAATAAAACAAAACAAAAATGTCTACATCTAATCAAGAGAGAACAATTATCCCAAAACTTTACCTGGTAATAGTACATAATTAATTTAAAAGTACAGAGAAGGCAAGTTTGGAAAGCTATCTTCATGAAATAATATTTTCTCATACTTATTTTAACAAATTATTGTAATTATGCTACTTAATGGTAGCATATTGTAATAATGAACAATACAATATCTAAAACTAAATTCAATATAGTCTAAATCTAGAAGCTGGCTGCTTTTGAGCAGTTATTATAGAGAATAAATACTATGAAATACAGGGCACCGTACAGCAATCAGATATACTGGAAAATTTAAATAAAGTGTACTTTGTTCTATACTAGAATTACCCAAGATTAAGTTTTATTGTGCTGTATACAGTAATTGTTTTCCTGAAAAAGATAGTCAATCTTCATAATTTATTTTAAATGTTCTTATTTTAAGTGGTCATTATATAAGATGAATATTTAATACAAATTTCCATAAAGGATACTCTTATGTAACATAAAGTAATATGTTCCAAGCAATTTATGCAGCATGAATACCTGTATTATATACATCTGACTAAAGTCCTTTAGTCCCTGCCTCTCCCACCAATATAACAAAAGCAAAAATTACCCAAATGTGGAAATCATGCGCTTTTCCTTATGGTATAGACACTCAATGAATTAAGTTTTGTTTTTTAAAGAAAGTCTCACTGAGTTCCCTTGGTTGACCTTGAATTCTCAATTCTCCTGCCTTAACCTCCTGAGTAGCTGGAATTACAGGAAGGCAACACTACACCCAGCTAAGCAGTTAAACTTTTAAATTAACATTCATGCAGGTGAAAAAATCACGAATATAGTTATACTTCATTTCATCATAAAAATATTTTTATTTTTCAGAATATATGTAAGAAAATTTTAAGTATGAGATTAGAGATACAATTTTAATGTTATTAAATTGTCCCCAATGTTTAGACTAGATTACGGACAGTGGCTGCTACCATTTCAAGATTATATTCTTACAAATGTAATTTTTAAAAATATACAACCTTCATTTATTTTGAAGGATAGTGCAAATGAAGACATTCTTTGGGTCATGATTTCAAAACATTACTTTCAACATTATACTTCCTTTCTCTCTTCATAATCTGAGTAACAAAATATAGTACTGGAAGTAAGCACATCTAATAGCCTTAGCTGAACAGTTACATCTACTGAGAACAAATGACAGAAGAATAATTCAGTAATAATATTCTCCACTTGTCTGAAAACATGTTATACACTTAAATAAATATCTTACAGAAACAAATCCATGAGTTTTAGTGTTGTTTCAGCTTGATCTCAAACACAAAACATTTACACAAAGACCATCTACCTGCTCACTACACCAGCCATGTTGCCTTAAGGATAAGGTACAGCATGGAAAAGACTTGCCTGGAAGCAAACTAGTAACACTTAAAATTTTATATACAGATTAAGAGTTCCATGAATCCAGCAAATTCCTTGAAAATATGTTGGGCTTCTATTGTAAAGTATCTCTCCTAGCCAGCAATTAAAAAGCTTTTCTGCGATAGGATATACTCCATAGTGGAAACAGCAGCACAAGGTGATCTTCAACTGCTATCTAATGCTGCCAGAGGCATTTATCCTTTTATTTGTGGTTACTGGCACCAGATTCCCATTAGTGCCGTTGGTAGTGTTGGTGGCTGAGCCATTCACAACAATACAGTCGACTTTGTTCTCCAGCTTCACCAAGCGTTGCAAGATGTCATCCAAAAGGACAGCAATTGTTCTTTTCAGATCGGCTGGGGGGAAAATTAGAATGTTATGTATGAGGAAGGCACTTAATATTTGTGTTTTTATAGTGTGAAAGAAAATGGTAAATAATTATCAAGTCATCTGAGAGAAAATATATAGCAAATGTACTCATACCATATGGAGGAAAAGCCTATTTTATATGGGTTTTTTTCTTTTAATTGCTATTTCTAACCCTAATCAATGTTTAAAAAATACCTTCATAATTCATATCAAGCCTCCCAGGGAATCAGCTTCACTTTTAGTTAGGAAAAGGCAAACAAGTATGAAGAAAGATATTTATTTATATTTGTTATGTTATTTGTTTAAAAGAAACTACGAATCAAAGCCACAATAAAATACTACTTGACACCTACTAGAATGGCTATAATCAAAGAAATGAGGTGTTGGCGAAGGATATGAGGAATTTAAACCCTCTTACATTACTGATGGGAACATGAAATGGTGCAATTACCATGAAAAATGGTTTGGCAATTTTTCAAAAAGTTAAACATACAAGTTTAACCTTGATCCAAGAACTTTACTCCTAGGTATAAACCCCCAAGGGCAAGAAATACTGTATACCAAAGTTTTTATTTGTAATGTTTTATTCATAATAGCCAAAAGGTATAAACAACCCAATATCCACCAAAAGATAAATGGAGCCCAGCCTGGTGGCACACACCTATAATCCCAGCACTCAGGAGGCTGAGTCAGGAGGATCGCTGTTTGTTCAAGACCAGCCTGGGCTACATAGTGAGTTCCAGGTCAGTCTCAACTACACAGTGAGACCCTGTCTCAAAAAAAATAAACAAACAAACAAACAAAAAACCAAATGATAAATGGATACGGCTGGGGATTTAGCTCAGTGGAGCCGCCTGCCTCGAAAGTGCAAGGTCCTGATTTCAATCCTGGGTACAAAAAAAAAAAAGAACAGAAAGAAAAATGGAAAAACAAAATGTGTTATATACATACAACAAAAGTATTCTTCAGTCATTAAAAAAATGAATAATATTCTGGTAATACAATGCTATGGGTTAACCTTGAAGATACTATGCAAAACAAATTATGTAAGCAAGACTCAAAGCTCAAATATCATATGGGGCTACTTACATGGAATATTTAGAACAGGCAAATTCAGAGACAGAAAGCAAATGAAAGGTTATCAAGGACCAGAAGGAGAGGAATAAAGAGTTATTTTTTCTTTAGGCTCATCAAGAAATTGCCCCCCTCCTCCAAATTACTGCTTAGCAGTCTGAGAGTTTGGAGTGATCTAAGTTTTGAAAGGAAATACGTATGGTTCCACAATATTGTGAATGTGATTAATGCCATTGAATCCTACCTTTAAAAATGGTTAGGTAGGTGGCCTGCCTTGCAAGCGCAAGGACCCAAGTCCAATCCCCAAACAAAAAACAAATAAAAATGGTTAGGTAGAACCTATACCAGGGTGGCACATCCCTATAATCCTAGCACTTGAGAGGCTGAGGGAGGAGGATCTCAAGCATGTTCAAGGCCATTCTAAACTATGTAGCAGACCATGATGTGCATGTGCCCTGAAGGCTGAATCCAGGTCATCACCTAGGGCTACAATCCAGCCTTTTAAATTTTTCTATAGATTTGACTCTGGTGTGAATAATCTGCAATAATACATAAGATCCTAATAAGATTACTGACATTTAGAAGTGGGAAGAAAGGAGCTAAAGGTGTAGGGAAGGTGGGATGGGTAGGGGAAGGGTAATAAGGGAAAAGAAAAAATGTGAGAGAATGAAAAGATGGAAA